CACCACCACCACCACCACCACCACCATCATCATCATCATCATCATCATCACCACCACCACCACCACCACCACCATCATCATCATCATCATCATCATCATCATCATCCTCATCATCATCATCATCATCATCATCATCATCATCATCATCATCATCATCATCATCATTATCATCATCATAGCCTTCCCCTGGGACGCAAAAAGGACATACTAATACGATGTGTCCCCCTGGAAGGCGTGCGTCGGGCCCGAACATATCGTACAGCCATCCTGTAGCAGATCATTTCCAGAGCGGTATGGCCAGAAAGCGCCCGCCACGGAGCTTGCACACTTCTCAGCGCGCGCGTCACCCCTGGGGGGGCGACGCACTCATAGTATCAGTATGTTGGGGTGACGCCGGTCCCGCTCATCCTGTGCTGCCACCTCCACCGCACTTCGTCCCCGCGCCCGTCGTCGCTGAGCCATCCAGGACTTCGGTGTCCCGTGGTCGTCGCAGCGTGGTGGAGGCATCCTTGGGGCTCCTTTGGTCAAGAGCAAGCCCCCACAGGGAGGAATCCAGCGTCGACCTCTCTGTAGAAAGAGGAGGGTCAAAAGGAGGAGGAGGAGGAGGCGCTTTTCAAATAGTACGCATCCTTCGTTGGCGCCGTGCGCTGTCGGTGCAGAAGCTTCAAGGCCTCACGGCGGTGTCTCTTCAGAACGGGCTTCTCGCCTGAGACTTCCGAACGAGGACATGCACAAAAGCTACACTGCTGGACGGCGGCTCATTTTCCAGAATGGGGTTCTCGCTGGATTTGTCTTCCAAAACTGCAATTGACCTGGCGAAAGACCCAACCATCTGCAGTTGTGAGAGCCGCAGTTACGAGGACCGTCTTCGGTGGAACTCCCTATGGAGTCACAAAACGTGTGAGTGGCGTGCCGATTTGGGGAGGGGGGGACGCATGTGAACCCTCCCACTGGTACCTTCGGTGGAGCTCCCTCTAGGGCCACGAAACGTGTGAGAGGTGTGCCGATACAGGCGTGACGCCCATATGCAAACTGCGCCACTGGGACCCTCGGTAAGGCTCCCTACGGAGCCACAAAACGTGTGAGTGGTGTGCCGAAACGTGCGTGACCCCCTCATGCGAACTGCAGCACCGGGACCTTCGTTGGGGCCACGAAAAGTGTGGGGGGGGGGGCCAAAACGGGCGTCCCGCCCACATGTGAACTGCGCCACTAGGACCTTCGGTGAAACTCCCTACGGGGCCACGAAACGTGTGAAGGGTGTGCCGAAACGGGCGTGACGCCCACATGCGAACTGCTGTACCACTGAGACCCTCGGTGGAGCTCCTTATGGAGCCACGAAACGTGTGAGGGGTGTGCCGAAACGGGCGTGACGCCCACGTGCGAACTGCACCACTGGGACATTCAGTGGAGCTCCCTATGAGGCCACGAAACGTGTGAGGGTGTGCCGAAACTGGCGTGACGCCCGCATGCGAACTGCACCACTGGGACCTTCGGTGGAGCTCCCTACGGGGCCACGAAGCGTGTGAGGGGTGTGCCGACACAGAGGCGATGCAGGGATGCAAAGAGGGAAGAGGAACAAGGAGGAGAAGGAGTGGGACGCGAGGCGCTGTCTCTTCAAAACGAAGACCAAACACCACAAGATGGTTGGGAAAAAATCGGAGCAGGGAGACGCGTGAGGGGGGCGCTGCTCAATATGTGGTGATCGCTTGACATGCTCTCGATACGTATGGTCCACCAACTTGGTTTGCCGAATGGCAACGGGGATAGAAGACCGCCCTCTTCCAAAACAAAGCTCTCGCCTAAATGGCAGGACTATGGGGTCCTCGTCCATACAGCGGGCTCTCCCCGTAGCGAAACGGAATAGTTGAAGGGGCTCGTGAGGAGGGGGGCCTTAGTAAAGGGGGGGGTTCAACATCGCTGATGCACTCTGGGTGTATTCAGACCCTCGTCCTCACTTCTGTTTCTCTCCTTCCTCCCTCCCTTTTTCTGGTGGAGGCGCACGGAAAGGTGGATGAAGAGGGTCGCCTGTCGGCGCTGGAGGCTTCGGGCAGGAGGGCACGGGAAGAGGAGGAGTACGAGGAGGAGAGGTGGAGAGGGAGAAAGAGGAGGAAGAGGAGGAGGAGGAGGAGGAGGAGGAGGAGGAGGAGGAGGAGAGGGTAAAGGAGGAGGAGAAGGAGAAGGCGAACAGGGGTGGGCGGGAGGTGGGCGTGGCGGTGACGGCAGAGGTGGAACTGGCAGTGGAGGTCGAACGAGGAGCTGGAGGTGGCAATCGAGAGAGGCGGAATGGGGGAGAGGATTAGAGAGGGGGAGAGGGGTAGAGGGGGAGTGGAGGTCGAACGAGGAGTTGGAGGTGGAAATCGAGAGAGGCGGAACGGGGGAGAGGATAGCGGGGGAGGAGGGGGAGAGGAGCAGAGAGCAAGCTGGGCGAGTTTTGCGCCACAGTTGACATCCGCCGGCGGGGGAGGAGGAGCGGCGGCTGGGAGCGCCCGCCTGGCCGCCGGCGCCCCCGCTTCCCCGGACAGGGGGCCGGCACGGGGGGGGGGCCGCGCTGGAGCTGGCAACGGCCGGGGGCGCAGGAGGTGCCGCGCGGCCCTGCGGCCTGGGGCCGTCGGGCGCGGCGGCGGCCCCAGCGTCTTTTCAAGGACGAGGCAGAGCTGGCAAATTTGGGGATCGCCGGGGGGCCGCCGTGCGGGAGCGTTCTGCAAGCGATCGTCGACGACCCAGAAGAGGCTGTCGTCGGGGCCTTTCTCGCTCCATGTGCTGCGGGGCGAAGGCCCCCCGCCTGCCGGGGTCGTCGAGGGATGCAGGGCCGGGCGCGTGCATGACGAGGCGAGCGATGGCCTGGAGGCACCTTGCCACAGCGGTGGGGAAGTCTGCCGGGTCGTCGGTGGGCACGCGGGCGGCGCGGTCGCCAGAGCCCTGGCAGGCGGGCCGGGGTTGCACGCTTGCGGAGGAGGGCGCTCAACACTTGATCGTCCGAGCAGGGGTGAAGGCTGAAGGGGCCCTGGGACACACAAATAAATACACACAAATAAAAAGATTCCCCATATATTCCTATATTTTCTGGGTTTTTGTCTTCCCGCCCAATTCCCATATTTTCCTATATTTTCTTCGGAATCGACGGTTGATTGTGTCTGTGTGTTTTTGTTCCTCCTGAAAGGCCCAGGTGGCGCAGGAGGGCGCAGCGCTGGAGAGCGCGGCGGATGCTGCCGGCGCCCTGGGCCGTGGCGCAGTCCCGAATGACGATGCAGCCCCGCCTGGCCCGGGCCGGTGCAACGCCGAAGCGGCGGGGGCAATCGAGGTGCCCGCGGTTTTCGTGGCCGTTGGAGCGTACGGAGGTGATGAAGACCCCTCCTCCTCCTCCTCCTCCTCCTCCTCCTCCTCCTCCTCCTCCTCCTCCTCCTCCTCCTCCTCTCCTCCTCCTCCTCCTCCTCCTCCTCCTCCTCCTCCTGGTCAGTGGGCGCGGAACTGCCGGGCAGGCGCTGGGCGGGAGGGGGGGGGAGAGGTCGAACCGAGGCAGGGCACGGGCGCCCCAGGGGACCGCCGGTCGACGCTGGGCTCGGTCGGGCTTACAGTCAAGTCGGGCGTGTCCCTCTACAGGAGGAACAGTAAAAAATATTTGAAAAGATAATCTGGGAACGATTTTTCTAGTATGTGTTGACCATTTCTGCAAATCGTCCAACTATTGCATGCGTGTTCCCCCAAATCCGCCCGCAGGAGGACAGACCCGACCCAAGGTTACAGAGACTGGCCCTGCGGGTGTGCTCGACGGAGGGCACGCGGAGAGCATCGGCGCGACATCGGCGTCAACCAAAAAAAGACAGGGGGCCGTCGCAGCGGCGCTCGCGAACAGAACCGGCAGCGGGCAGCAGGCCCGCGCCCAGCTGCCCGCTGCGGCGCCGGAGAGGGGGCAGAGGCGGCTGCGGGGGCAACGGGGGCATAGTCTTAGGTCGGGCATGTGCTCCTACAGGCGAATGCTGGGCGAAAAATGAACAAATGGACAATATCAGCCAGCGTCGATTCCAAATAGATTAGACGACTCAAACCAAGGAATCAGAGGAATCAAGCATGCTTGGAATCCGCAACTCAGCAAGCAAGCAAGCGTGCAAGCAAGCAAACAAGCAAGCAAGCGTGCAAGCGCGCAAGCGCGCAAGCAAGCAAGCAAGCAAGCAAGCAAGCAAGCAAGCAAGCAGGCAAGCATAGGCATAGGCATAGGCATAGGCATAGGCATAGGCATAGGCATAGGCATAGGCATAGGCACAGGAGTTAGGGGGAGGCATAGGCATAGGCATAGCCATAGCCATAGCCATACGGCAGGTTCGTGTCGTGTCGACCCCGGCGTTGGTTCCTGACACCGCGGGGATCGTTCAACCTTGAACGATCGGCCGTCTCCGCAACGTCCGATCGTTCAACATCGATCGATTCTGGGTCGCCGGCGGCGTTCAACCTTGAACGCCCGCGCTGGGGTCGCCGCTGGACGACACAACGCAAACCTACCGTAGCCATAGGGATTGGGGGGGCGGGGGCATAGGAATTAGGGGAGGGGGGGCAAAGAACCGATCAGTAGCATTTGAGCTAGGACTCCTGTAGGGCAAGCCGATGTGAAGAGAAAACAAAAACAGCAACAAACAGGCAACACAAAAAAAACCAAGAGTCGTCCCCACACAAGGGTTTTACAATTTTGGAATATGCCCCCTGTAGAGGGACACGCCCGACTGAAGCATAACTTTTTTTTTTTCGACGTCGGCGCGCCGTGGTCAAAAGGTCGCACTCTCATTAGGTGTCGGCTCGAGCTCCCCTGGGAGCGCCAACCTCTCGGAGGGCGACCAGGGAGGGAGGGAGGGCGAGGCGAAGACTAAGTCCAGGGAGGGAGGGAGGAGGCCTCGCCCGACTGAAGCATGACTAGTCCAGGGTGGCGATCGCGCACGGAATCGCGGCGACAGCCTCCGGCGCCCGGGCGGCCTCCTCCAGCCGGGAGAGCGCGGCGCCCCCCCGACGACCCCGCCCCCGCGTCTCCCGCCGCAGCGCAGGGGGGCTGCCCTCTGGAGCGCAACGCTGATGCCGACGAGAGTGGAGTCGCCGAGCACGATACACCCTGCGAGATGCTCAAGAGATCATGGGTTGAGAAACTCAGAGTCTCAGAAATTGAATTAAAGAAACCCAGTTCCTACTAAAAAGTTAGGCTTTCCATTGAAACAATAAGAATAATCAAGATTCTGGCCGAAACCTTACGTTCTCTTAAGCATCGCCGAGCACGATAGAGAAAGCCAAGAAAAAATCGCGCTCGCCTCTGGTGACCCTGGGGTTCCGGCCCAGGGCTGCCCATCCCATCAGCCAGCGGGAGCGAGGGGGCTCGAGGGAGCCCGCGGTCTCGCCAGGGTCCCAGATGCGGCGCGCGGCCCCGCGACGGAGCCCGAACTGGCTGCCGACGGGGCCCTCGGCGGAGTCGCCCGCCAACCTGCAGCAAATCTCGCCGCCCCGCGCGGAGACCGTGACAGCGGAGGACGGCGGGCAAAAGCGGGTGCGGAGGGCAGCAGGAGCACGAACGGCGCGCGACTTTCCGGTCCCCCGGGGGGGGCCCGGCACGCAGAAGAGCCGAAGCTGAGGGGCGGAGTGGAAGAGCGCGGGCCTGGCGTGCGGCGACGCGGTGGGCGGCGGAGACACGTGCGACGAGGCCGGCGACAACGGCGGCAGCGGGCGAGTGGCGGTCGCCAGGGGGCCAGGAGCAAGGAGGACCAGCACCCCCGGGGCCGCGCCCGGGGGCGGGGCCCGCTACATCGCGGACGCCAGGGTCCGGGCCGATGGGGTCGGTGGCGGGAGGTCTGGCAGACTCCGTCTCCGCCTCGTCGGGGCCGAAGTCGATGTCTCGGAGCTTGGCTCGTCGCCCCCGTCGGGGGGGGGGAGGGGCGGGCGCCTTCGGCGCGGGGCGCGGAAGCAAGGGCTTCGGACGCCCGCGGACGCCCGCGGCCCGCGGGCCTGGGGGTCCGAGGCGTCGTCGTCACCAGGGGCAGCAGGGGCGCGGGTGGGCGACCCCGCCGAGGAGGGGGCAGAGCTCGCGGCGCCGAGCGGCGCCGAGCGCCTCGTCGGCCAGCCTCGCCAGCTCAGCGCAGCATCCCCTGGGAGCACGACCACCGCAGGATGCGCTTGCCCTCGGCTGCCAGGATGTCGCGGGCGACGGCGACGGCCACCGGCGCGATGACGGATCCCCGGCGGTCGACGGGCTCGCGGTCGAGACCGTGGAACGGCTGGACGCGTTCGTGGACCCGACTCCACTGCACTTCCCCATGGATGACTTCGAGGCGCAAGCCTTGCGGGGGGGTGGGCCGAGCGAGCCTTCGCCCCAGAAGGAGCCTTGACGCGAATCCCACCACGCGGGGCAAGCATCGGAGGGACCGCCGACGGTGGGGTCATGCGGCCCAGGCGGCCTGGGCCACTCCACCCGAGGGTAACTGTGGGAAGCGGCGAGAGAGAGGAGGGTCAGCAAGAGCAAAATGCACGCGTGGGTAGCGGGACCGGCCCTGGAGCGCCGCAGCATCCAGTCGAGCCAGCGGGCGGGCCTGGACAGTTCCCACGGCGCCCAACGCTGGTCGTTGAGACCGAGAGCGGAGACCTCAAGTCGGGTCGGGCGAGAGGGGGGGATAGCAAAGGGGGGGGTTTGAGAATCAGCTCACGTAGCTGATTTTCCCGGCGCCTCCCTGTGCCGGAGGCGGCTATGTATCGAGGAATGGGCCCCTTGGGTGAGGCCGAGACCAGCTGCATGCAGCAAATTTCGTAACCCCCCCTTTCCCAATCCCCCCCTTTCGCCCGGCCCGATCAAGGTGGCTGGCCAACCACCTGGGGCCACGTCACCGGGGGCCCACCGCTTGAGCTGCACTTGAGGAACGACGGGGCCGTCCTCGCCCGGCGCGTCGCCCCGGAAGGCCTCGCGTCGGATGGGCCACAGCAAGCTAGGGAGCACCCGGCGCGTCACGCAAAGCTCGTCGACCGACAGCCTGCATCGCAACGCGCCCCCGAAGTAGGCCAGG